CTGGTAACTGCAGGTGCATTTTAAGGAATTTACATTTCACATGAAGATACACTAGTATGAATAAAATTAATATTCCCAGGTTAATTTAATTAAACAGTTATAATAATGAAATGAAACATTTTCATAAAGCCGCCTTTATTTGATATTTCCCTGGCCCCAATTGCAATTGTCTTTTGGGTTATTTGTTAATATATTGGCTAAAAAAGCGTAATATTGCAGTGTACTTCACAGATAAAGACTGATTGATTGCGTATTGTTTAAATAAATGTTGAGATTTTTTCAATTATATCATTTTAGGGTTTTCATATGGCGTAGGTGATGAAAAACATGACTGTTGAAATACGAAAACTCTTGAAATGTACCTTGTGTTTTGCCTAATTGTACTATTTAGATTTATTCCATTTAATCTTTTTACTTGAAAGAAAGCAAGACTCGCTTTGCAAATCCGTTCTGTACGAACGTAATTAACGGTTTTGTATCATGATGTTGCTGCAACAACTTCACTATTTTCAATTACTTTCTCACGTTGATCTATAATGTCTTGCGTAAAGATCGATCAACATAGTAAAAACTTTGATGTTCCATTAGCGTGTAATTGCAATTAAAGGTTTGCCTCGCGATTCCATCCAAAGTAAATTTCCGAAAGTCTAAGCTGCTTCGTCTCATCCCTGTTTGAACCGTCTGCAAGAGACTTCTTAAATGCGTTTTAAAGCACGCCAATGGGAGCTTAAAAAGTCCACAAACTCCGCCAAAATCTAATGATCCCTGCTAAAAAGTTTTCAATGCTGGTTCCTCGTCGATGTGCGAATTGATTACATCCTTTCAGTCGGTTCCTTACTACCTCAGCTCCTCTTCTGTATACAGTCCGTTACAAGCCGTATTTAAATTCTAGAGGCCGGACTAATGATGTACACTATACCAATTTCGTGATTCTTGGACACTCCTTCAGAATTATGATACAGATATGATAAAGTGTGGGGATATCCGTTCTCTCCATGGACGGTTTACGTGCACAAACGTCTATGGACTATTATTCAACTCTATCTTCAGTTACATTCAACCGTTATCTCCTCGTGTTACGCGGCAAGTCCAATCTATCTATTTTAGTCTCTGCAGCATTCTATTGTACGCTATCTATTGTAGCTAGGAAAATACTACTAGCGACAATAACGAATTTATGGAATAATTTTTATTTTAGTTTGAGTCTGCTACTAATTCATTCAAGTTGTGTTTTTGTATTGTGGAGCTCCGATTCACGTTCCTTTCCCTGAGGGCTGTTAGCAGACAACTTGTATTTTATGAGGTTTCACGGCATTGGAGTCATATACAAACTACAATTTGATCAAACATTATTTTCTTTCAGTTTTAAGATTTAATATATTATAAAAAATATTTAACCATTATTAACACATTTCAAGTTATTTAAAATGAATTTCATAGATAAAACAGAATAGACTACATATTAAAAAACGTTTTGAAACCAAAATAATGTTTTCTGATACTTGTAGACCGGAAACATTGCACTGAAAGTTTCATCAAAACTACGTAGACTAGGGGTTTTTGTTCAAGTCAAAATGTTATTTGCTATACTAGAATAAGAAAAAATACATTGATTGTTGCATTTTTACGTAATCCTGAAAATAAAGTAGAAAACAAAGGCATACATAGGAAATAATTTAGTCTCCCCAACCTTATAAAAAATTCTCAAGTGCATCTCCTCACACGCAGTCACACATTCGCACGCTCACCTACAAATTCACGCACACGCAAACTGTCACGTGCGCGAAAACATACACATGCACGTTCTCATCCTTATGCACATGCAATGCTCATCCTCATGCACATGCAAATGCTCATGCACATGCTTATCCTCGTGTACATGCACATTCTCATCCTCATGCACATGCACACACTTATGCTCATGCACATGCTCATCCTCATGCACAAACCCAACTGTGGGGTCCGGGCAATCGCACAGACTCGTTATTCAAATTCTAACTGAAACTACCACTTGTAAACAAGAAGATTAATAAAGAACAGGTTCACAATAATGTATAAGTCTAAAGATCTTTCAACTTCCTGAAGATTCGGAAACAGAACCTACGAATAAAATTCATACAAACTTTATAATGAAAATTAATGGTTTTTTTGAAAAGGTTACTATTTTGTAACAAACTTTAACAATAATAACTATAAAATGAAGTAAAATAGAGTTAAAGTAAAATTAACAGTAAAATGAAGAATAAATAGGTTTAAATGTTCTACAACAATCTTTACTTGTGACATTGCTTGTAGTGGTGTAGCGATTTTCGTAGCAGACGATTTACTATCACGATTCAAGCAACAATATCATTACGTGTGTGTGATATTTACATGCCCAACTTCCACTCTTTTGTAACACAGAGTTATAATATGTAGTTAGTCAGTCTCCAAAACAATATACACAAGAGGCCATTGTATTGAAAATGTATTCGATGAAACTGATTTGTCGTTTAAATGTTGGTGAACTCACGCATTTTAATGTAAGCAATGGAAATACAAATGTATTTGTATATGATTGATCTCACATGTGTGAAAGTGTTGTGTGTAAGGTGTGTGTGTGTGTGTGTGTATGTAAAGGAATGGGAAGTGATACGGTTATGTAAGGGAATGTCACGCGCGGTTCATGGCCCGATTGTTAGGGTACTGCCCACGTATACGCTTGGTATATATAGAAGAAACGACCAAAAACGAACTTCGAGAGCATCCGGTTGATAGAGCCAACCAGCTGATAGAATTCTCTTCCAGACAATATGTGAATTCCACCTGGCTATCAGCTAATGTAGAAAATCTGCCAGCACGCACTCGCGTCCAAGGATCTTCCGATGAGAGACATTGCAGCAGCAACGAATGTCGCCGCTGCGCTATTTCAGCCGGCTTGAGATTACAAAATATCTCGCAAAGCCCCTTGAACACATGAATCATAGTTATTTAATGCTTTTTGTAAAAAAATCATGTTCTTTTCAGCGAAATAAAGCGAAACATTATTATCCGCTTACGGCTTATAATTTTAATCCACCTATTTAATTTATAATTGCTAAACGTACAGGCAAAAATGTCGCCGGGTGACAAAAATGCAGCAAACAATTCGGACAATGTCCATAAATAATTATTAGGTAAAGAAAAATATGTAACTAATTTGCAATTCTGTAGATACAAATCATTCATAATGAAAAACCGATGACGCGAAAGAAAATATTCGGTAATGTTTTCCTTTAATATTCCAACGTTTTTGTGATCCTCTCTCGACTACGGGCAAAGATTCCATATATTCATCGCTCGCGGAAGAGTACAATAAGCTAATCTGCTGCCGCAACAGGGGCCGCACGAGGAAGTCTGGCCGGGCGTGCGTTTTGTATTCGGCCGGCACAATGCGCACTTCAGGAAGCACCATTTTCTCTGCTTTCCCTGAGCGCTCTCCTCTCCGTGGATCCCGCCACGCTCGCTCCCCCCCCCCTGCCCCACGGCGCGCCCTGCTTAGGCAGCCTGCCTTGCTCAGCGAAAGCGGCCCCCGCGCTCCTGCCCTATCTCTGGCTCCAGGTGCAGTCACCGTCGCTACCTGCCACTCCACCTACTCCTCTGGGACGTCCTCCGCTACTTGCTTCATTTGTGTCTTTGCTGCCCAAGTCTCGTTTGACGTATATCCTAGTCTAATCCTTTTTATTCTCAATTACATTTTCTACACATTCTCCGATTATTGTCTCATTCGTTTGTACCTAATAATTGTTTTCTCTCTCTCTCTCTCTCTTGGATTCACTTACTCCCCACACACATCAGACTCACCTGTTTGTGTCTGATTCATGTGTTTTTTCGGCTTATTTTCGCTGCTTCTTTCTTATCACCATTTCATTCTCTACTGTTTCCGCCGTCTTTAACGTCTCTTTTCTCAATTCTCACAATCTCCGTTCTGTATGACTTTCTCATCTGTTGTTTTCTCCGTTGCTTCTATCTCTCCTTTTAAACTTGTGCTTCCTCCTCGCACATCGCATAGTCGCTTAGTCCACAATCACCCTCTCTTCTCCCATTTCTAAATCTTCGTCTATATAAATAGCTTTCTCCGCCATTTCTTCCGTCTCCACCTCCTCCGTCCGCAGTTGCGTCGTGGTCCCTCCTGTCGATCTCTTTTGCTCTTTTTCTTCCCCAGCCTCTGACGACTCGTCTCGCAGCCTGGTTTCGACGTCTGTTCTGGAGCAGTTTGGGGCCTCACTTCCCGTCCGCGCCCCTCCCGCGCCGCGAAGGCGAGGCGACTGGCGGCCGCGCAGCGCCTGGGTGACCCTCCCGCTGATGGTCGATGACCTCCGTCTGTTGCAGCGGCACCTAGCCGGGGAAGCGCGTGAGGCGGCGTTGTGGGTGTGGCGAATTCCAAGGCATCCGGCCCCCTCGGGATAACGGTTTTCTACTCTTGGACTTCTCTGATTTGATCTCCCGGGGATACACTGTTGGCATTTTGGAAATAACTAATTGATGCAAGTGTTAATGTTTTTATTTCATCGTTTGGATTGCTAGACCATCCTCGACCCTCCGTCGATTATATCAAAACATTGGTAAAGACATCACTTTTAGTTGTCACTTTTCTGCTTATTTCACTCCGTTACTTGAACTATTGTGAGCGTGACTGATCAGCTTCCTGGTTGTCTCTTAAATTACTACCTGCTTGTTACTCACTGTTATTCTTCTTTTTACTATAATTTCTATTAGCTACACTTCAATTTCTTTCTCTTTTATGGTTGCAATTGTTGAAGATGTTTTATTACAATACTTCCAGTACACTCTATAAACCTAGATAAGGACATATAGGCTTTTGATGCACACTCCGATACTACTTCCATTGAAAACAGTCAATTTTTAATTATATTATAACTTACATATTTCATGACAATGATGAATTTGTACCTCAAATTTTCTACCCACATGTTATTTGAAGGTAAAACATAAATATATTTTTGTATTTAATTTTGCAGATTCCCCTATAGATATACGTTGCATTGCGCATATATAATGCATTCGTATATATTAAGCCGACAAAGCAATGCTCCAAAATTTCATTAATTAAAAAAACATTTTTCCTCGCTTTTTTAAAAACTTTCGCTAATTATAAAAACCTACATTCTCCTTTAAAACACATTTCACTAAAAATATGTGCGTTGATAATGTTAATTGAATATGATGATGTTTTCTATGACGTCAGATTTTCAGTAATTTTGTTTGGTTGAATTGTTTTTTTGATAATGATTCCGTGCGCGTCAACTACTAGAGTCATTAGTTCCGTAAGTGTAGAGCACGCTTTCCTCGGGAGATGGCGATAGGCTTTCCCCGCTGTATAGTGAGATCAGGCGTCGACATACCGTCGCCTAGTGAGGGGCTTCTCTTCCAGGTACCTCCTTGGCACCGCCCCACCTGCAACAAGCTCCAAGCTCCCGACCAGTCCTACGGCATGTGTGGTAGTGAAGTGCGTGTTAGTGTGTGTGTGTGTGTGTGTGTGTGTAAACGGTGAGGATAGGACAAGAAAGTGGTAGGAATGATCGCGCACGGTCCATGGCCCGTTTGTTAGGGTACTGTTCCGGCATTCGCCTGGTGTTGATCGCAGAAACCACAGAAAACTGCCGATCACAGCAGTCGGCCTCTAGAATTCACCTCCAAACAGCGACTGAATTATATCTCGCTGACAATCTGGTGTCGAAAATCCTGCCACCGTCGGGGCTTGACCCGAAGACCTCCCGGTGAGAGAGTTATTTTGGTCTTTCTTAACTCTAACGGACAAGTCACGGACTTATGTACATTCACTACTTCACATTTCGCGAAACGAGTCAGCAGCCAAAAGCTTGTCTCGTCTGGGGAAGTACTCTGCCGCGGGAATTACTTGTTTGTGGAAATCCTCCACAAGTCGACGAGTAGGTCTGCGCAGGATATCACATGTAGTGGGAAATAAATAGTCCCCTCTCACAATAAACATTCATTAAATTAACAAGACTAATGGCGGTTGACGCGTCCAGAAACATCATTCAATCGATCAATCAATCAATAAAGTCAATCAATGTGAAGGAATTTTAATTGATTCATGTTGCGAAAATATGAGTATTGACTTTTGAATGTATGTATGTATGTATGTATGTATGTATGTATGTATGTATGTATGTATGTATGTATTTGGCACGAGCGTAGCGGCCTTGCGGCCATGGGTTACGGGGTACGTGTAGTTGGCACATAGACATCCGTACGCTGTATTCAGGTGTTCTCAACCTGAGAAGTGAGCTTTCTCATTATCACACAGCAATGGATACTGGGACATTGCAAGGAAAGCGAATAATTATTTTTTGCCACATTTATGAAGTTGTTTCGAAAAGTCGGCGTAAAACGCGACTAACTCATTGTGCTGTCTAAAGAAAGTGTATTATGAATAAAGTAATTTCTCACCATTCATTTATGGAACACTTTTGTTTCTTATAATATAAATATTTATCAAATCCAGACTGTATTTAAGAAGAATACAGAAGAAGTACGTCAATGTTTTGTTAATTAATTTGAAATGTTGAGATCTCAATTATTTGCACCTTTCTTCAATATTGGTGAAATACAATGTTAGGTGTATGTGAAGTTTTAAACACAATATCATTGTCCAAATTGGATAAATTGAATAAATCTGAAGGCAGTTCAAGTGTCTGTCCTCCAAACTGCACGTAAAAAGAAATCAGTGTACAGTTGAGAACAATGGAGATCATTGTTTCAAAGGTGCAACCATATCGTTCCCTCAAAATCCAGTGTTTATAACGGTACACACATTCCATGAGCAATGTTCATGGAACGTATTTCACTTTCATTTCAGTTTCAAGATTTTAGGCGTTCACCAAATTACTATATATTTCGACATGCTGTATTCTCTTCCCTTTATCAATCAATTAATCAGCCCATCAATCAATCTGTCGGCGGATCCATGCTCTAAATATGAAGCAGCTAAGCTGTCGGCAAAAGAGAAGAAGCCGTTCGATGAAGCTCATTTTTCTGCAATTTTAATCAAATTAATCCCTTTACACTTGAACATCGGCTTCCAATTAAATGCTTCTCCAACAGTTGTCACATTGATTATTCTTAATCCCTATCTGGCTCAGCGCGTCACTATTGTCAAGATAAAATCCATTTCCTCCTCACTCAGATATCTGCTTGTGACATCTAGGGATAAAACGGTACTTTACTGCTCGAAGCAGGAATTCATCGTGCTAATTTCTATGGATTTGAGATCTGCACAAGAACAAAGGTCGAAATGGTGGTTACTGATAAGGGAAGGTAACGCGCGTACCAATTCATTAAGCTTTAAATGTGTTCTAATTAAACCGGTTCTACTTTATTTGAGGAGAAAATGATTGATTTAGGAGAACGACGTATCGAGGAATACAGGAAGAACGTTCTCTTGTTTTCAAACACTATCTTATCTTCCTAGAAACCTGGAAATAAATATTTACATAAAATGTTTTATTTTTCTGGAGAAATACAATGTTGAACTCAATATGGATGTACAGTTATTTCCTTCAGCGTTCTGAATAATTTGACTAATTTTATGAACGCTGACATTTACTACAAATTTTGTCACATTCATGACGATTGTCTCAATAGCCAAATTTTAATACGATGCTGTTCATACATAGATTTAGAGTTATAATAATAATGCGTTTTTCTTACAACATCGATATCTATTTGGGACACGAAGGGTAAGTTATCTGAATACTATCAAACATGTATATCAATATGTAATTTCTTTTTGAAGTTGTTTTAAAGCTGATCAAAAAACAAGGTAGAGATTAGACGTCATTGCCAAAATAGAGTATTACAAATGTCAACACATCTCTCATTAATATTTGTGTTTACTTGATACAACCAGAGTTGAATTTCTATCCGAAAAAGATCCCATGAAATGGTTTTATATTAAAATGAATGGAAATAATAGGGCTCTTATTCAAGTCCGAAGAAACATATATCTATATTTTGATGTGCATTACGATCATTATTCCTTCTATTTTTTCATCCTCACACCTTTTTCGCCTGCCATTCAATTTCGCTCTTAAAATAGTACTTGTAAATTTAGAAGAATATTGCATCTATCTGTATTAACAAATTGGAGTATCTGACTCTTATAACTTTCAAAATGACTGCATTTTTATAATTTCATATGCTTGAATAAATGATATTAGAACAGTTAAATTGTTTCTTATAACTTTCTTTCTCCCGGGTAATCTCGAGAACAGCTAATTAGAATTTGATGAGTTTTCCACTGAAAATATTATTTTTGTAAGCATAACGTCTTAGGCTTCACTTTTTCAAATTATTGTCTTTTAAACAGACAGAAAAATGTTTGTTTTTGAATGCAAATATTGTCCCATTATTGCATTGTCCCAACCATCATGAAGTTTTGTAAAAACAATAATAAAAAAAGAAATGTTACTATCTACATGATATATCGTAAAACTACCATATCTTCCTTTCCTACCCCTTTAATAAAATGTAAAGTTGCACTCTTTTATTTTATTTTTTTTTGCAAATAGTTGAAAACAGTGAGTAAATCTACCAAAGGTAATTGAAAGTTCCTGAAAGCGTATAAAATTCTCTCTTAAGCGCATTTTAATTCATTTGAATAGAAGAACTACGCTATGAATAATCAAAGATCAAAGCTGATGGTGAGAATTTGTCGGGAATATGCCACAACGCATATGTTTACAGCTGCACATCGAAACGATGATCGTAGCAAGCATTGGAAGGCGGGGTGAACTGGGCGGATGGAATGGAGAGATGGGTGAAGCCACAGGTGGGGATACACCATACATACAATTCACTTCTTTTCCTTTCGAAAAGATGATTGTGAATAAACACCCAGCAACGCAACGTAGTGTAGCTCATAGGCACGCGCATCTTAAAACAACTACTGGTCCTAAAACAGCACCTACTTTCTCCCCGGTATTTTCACGCAAAATTACGCGAAAAGTACTCAAATTTTCGAAAAATTGCACATTACCTTATTTTAAAATCCATCTTTAGCGAACAGATTTCATCAAGGTACAATATCTATCTTTAATATTTTGGTGTGGGAAGACTGGAAAAATTTTGAACTTTTGAAATTTTCGAAAAATCAGGGTTTTTAACGAACACGATACCCGCACCATTCTTCTGTCCTTCACACATAACATTCTCTGTACTCCGCAGGGAGAAAGTAACAACGGGGGCCAACTTCATTTCTGCGTCCCCTTGTCTATAGAACTTTTTCATGTTACATATGATGTATTTTGTTAGTAAATTAATAATATGTATTACAATGATAATTAAATAAATAAAATATCCGTTTCCACTATGTACCTCTCGAGGAAAGATATTAACTTTTACACCAGACGCACTTACGGGCTCCCCGGTCTGTGCTGTGGTCATTAGACTCACAAGGTTCCCACGGCGGGGCTTGAACCCGCGACCCTTCTGACAGAGGCGCTGAATCGGCACACTCTCTAGCCACTTCGACCATCCTGGTCGTCCAAATTGCTAATTTAATGATTATTATTAATATATACATATGGTTTTATTTCTTAGTACAGTATAGCGTATTATGTAGTACAGTATATCCAGATTTGGAGAGCCTCTTTCCGAAATGTATAAAACATTCCCCAATTTACTGGCTTTCACAAATTAATTTAAATCATTGTAGTTAGTTTTTCAATGTTTATTGTAATTTTTATTATGTTATCTGTTCGTAAAATAAGTGGTGGCTAATTCTCTCAACTGTTACTAAAATGACCTACATTAAATATTTTTTTAAATCCCTAATTGTTTGTTTGAAACGGGGGAAAAAAAGAAATGAAAAATTTGCAGACACAAAATGTTTTATCATGTACGGCTATAGAGACCCCTTGATAATATCCACTTAATATATTAATTAAGAATATTAACATACAAAAGTATAAGATAAACGTTCAATATTTTTTCAGTAAAAATTACAGGT